CTTACCCGAAAAAGAAATGATTCAGTCCATTGCAATATGTAAAAACACAAAACAAATCGCACTTTGAAACAATGAACAAGTGGAAAACAGTGAGTGGGATAGAATGCAAAGAATTTGTTTCCAAACTATATAATGCGGGAAAGGTAAGACAGTTAGTGAAATTGTTGTGCGCTACTTCCAAGGCAAGGCGGGCCTTAGGAAATGAATTTTGTACGAAATGCACAGGCTAGATAATTCCCAAATGCGTCTCAACCAAGCTGAGACCTCCTGAGCAATCGCAAGAAGAAAGCTCCAAGCATCAAATCAATCTGATAACAAATCCCCGTGGTGTTCTACACCATAAAAAATGAATTATGAAAAACATCAGATATGTGTACAAACAGTGAGTGTATAACAGCAGATATAGAAGACATGGAAAAATGTGCATGATACTAGAGAAACAAATGACCCAAAACACTGGCAAAGCTCTGATAATACTCTGTTTTGAACTGAGGCTTTCAGAGATATAAACGAGGTGCTAAGTGACCACCCTATTTGGGTGAAAAAATGTCTGCTACTCGGGCACAATTGGCTTATCCACTCTTGCTGGATCGTTTACAACGCTAACAGCCTTCTTGTACCATTCATGAACATTCTTATGAATTTCTTCCGTCTTTTTGATAACCGTCTCGTCAGGTTTACCTGCAAAATATGGTAATTAAAGCAAAGAAAAAAGTGACCTTAAAACAAAAAAAGCGAAAAATGGGTGAAAAAACTACATCTTATGAGTTGTTGAGCCCTCTTGGTATTATTGAATTCGAATTCGATTGAAGATGTCGCGCGAAAATTCTGAGACAACTTTTATACATATTTTACAGCCTGTGTCAACGTACTGGTTTCTTCTACCGTATGCATGAATTTGCGCGTCCGCTCTACAAAGCCTCACGTCACGTGTGGGCGTTGGTTCTGACGTGATATAATGCAAGACGTGGCATAGGCAGAGCCGAAAGCGAATTTAGGCATATGATAGAAAAAGAACCCATTACGTGTTG